ATATCACCAGTACTAGCCGTGCTATGATTGTAGAAAGGAAACGTTTTTGGCAACTATATCGAGAGGTATTATGCTAATTTAAATATTTGTTTTAGACGACTTTATGTTGAGCTTAAAACCTCTATCTCAATTATTTTTATTAGCATTTTTCCTCGGATGATGTGGGAAGCCAGAGTGCAGGCATAAAACACGATCTGAATGGATTAAATAAGACACTTGATTCTTTGCTCATCATGGTATGTTTAATTTAGATGTTGTTGATATGTTGTACTTAATTAATTAATTTATTTATTTATTTTTAATTCTGCTATTACGTGCTCTTTAATGATCAGGTCGATATGTTTAAGAAACAGTGGGAAAAGAAGTATGGTTCATTTGTTGCGCCGTTTGATCGATCCGACCCCAAAAGGCCACGTATTGCTGACTTTTAGTAAGTTGCTATTACGTAAAGAAGATAGTTTTTGGCTTTCTACATGTATTTGTCAGCAAGCAATGTAAATTCGTGTTTTGTTGGAGTTGGGATAAGATTCTTATTTTGTATCATTAACATAACAATCTTGATAAGATCCGTTGATGGTGTGTGTTAGTGATGTTTGATAAACTATTTGCAATAGAACGCCAAAATAACCAAACCTCCTTTGTCTACTTATTTTATGCATACGCGTTGCATATATTTGACATGATCTGTTAGTTGATTCCAACAGTGCTTTGTGCTTGGTGTTCCACATGTATTTATATGATGATAATTATAATAATAACAACAACAACAACACTAATAATAATCACAAACGAGTGAAAGAACGAAGTTTTAGGATTTCGAAGAGTGATTACATGTATTTCTAATACAAGTCATTATGGCATGTCTGATGTATCCTAAAGAATGAGTAGAGAGACAAAGGAGTATTTTATATTGACACCTTCTGCATGTTTTGATACGTCTCAATTGGTAACAGGGAATACAGTCACATGTAGAATGTTGATGTTGATATGAAAGCATAAGTTGGTGATTCACAAAAATTACTGTTAGCCATTAGGTTTCTCCTTTGATGTTGGTGTATGCTTCTCCATTAGGTTTCTCCATTGCACCTCGTGTTATATTTACTAGTACACTACCCGCGCGATGCGCGGCCAGATGTAATAAGTGATCAGTGATGTGGGTTCATAATAATTTAAATGAATAAAAAGTTATTCATTAAAAAGTAGAATAATTTTTTGATATATCACATCTTAAAATTTTCATTAAAAAAATTCACAAATCTAGGAACAACAATAATGTATGACGGTATGTGATTTAAACATAGAATATGATTTTTCCTTCAAATTTTTAAAATTAAATTCATTAAACTTACAAAAAAGAAACATATATGTGATATTCTAAAGTTCCTTGTGGCGAAGTTCTTATCGGAATTCGGCTCCTCATTTCAACTGGGGCAATTTACTATCCAGTGATGCTATACCCTGTGATGGCGAAGTTGGCATGAATTGTGTATATATTTTTTAGTTAAAAGTGTATATATCTTCTTATTGAGTAGATTGATCTGATTTCGTTTATCTTTGTACTGAAGGTAGATCATGTATATTTGGTTCATATTTTATTTTGATTCTTTTTTCCCACTATAAATATTGGGAGTTTGTACTACACATACACACTAAGAAATTATCTTCTTTCTCTGACATTTTCAATGTCAATTAAGTGTAACGTGCGATTGAAAACGGTGGTAATCTGACTTACTATTGGAAGGAAACTAAAGCTAACAATGAGGCTTCTCCTCTTCTCCAAGAAATTTCTAAAGTTGAGGAGCAGAAAAGGAAACTTTCTGAAGAAAGATCAAAATCGCTCGACCCTTCAATTGGCAAACAGTACATCCTAGACCAGATTGAGGTAAATATTATTTACGTATAGTGGTTCTTTTCTTGCCCTGTTTTTTTTTTTTTTTTTTTTTTTTTT